TCAGACTCGTGACTTCCAGTACATTCGGATGAAACTTCTGTTGTCTGGGCCGACGATGTCACATAGATCTGCCCGCATTGAGGTTGTTAAAATACACTCTTATTAGAAGGGTTCGACTGGGTGATTAAAAAACTGGGTCAGATCTCGTTAAGAACTATGTAGGATTTTCATTAACTTTAAAATATGCTGAAATTTTTGAAGATATTGTAAGTTAGATATGGTATGATGTATAGTCAAATGAGTCTTTTTTAGAGCGATGAATTCGAAGATTCAGATCCTCGCATTAAATATAAATTGGGAGAGCAGAGGATGCGCAACAAAGCGCTGTCCCTCAGGGATTTGACAGATTTGCTACTATCGCATTGCACTTTTGAAAAGGATGGCAATAAGTGATCGTCGATGCAGCGTTGTATAAAGGATGATTAAAAAATTGAATTGGAGGACTAGACCATGCGACCAAAATCGCCAGCTTCAAGAGGCACCTTCTCGGAACCCCGAAATGCAGAATTTTTGAATGTACCCAAGTTCATTGGTTTAAATGTCCTGTACACTAGTCGATGGGACCAGTATATGGATTTTCTGAAAATATTCTAATGTTGTTGTACAAACGAAATTCGAGCAAGACGGAACTTTTCCTTTTTATCTTATCACGCTTAACTTCTACGAATCCTCGAATCCAGAGAAATCTTCGTCAAGGATTTTCGGATTGGGACGCCCATACCTATTTTATAACCCGAGTATTATTTTATGTCCTAAGAAAAAAAACGTTTTAGTTCAAAAAGGCCATATCGGCATACCATGTTACAAAAATCAAGAGAAAGATTGTTGTTAAATATGAGATAGACTCTTTTTTTGCACAAATATTTTGTTTCCATAGGACAATGTGTTTCTGTGGTTGTTGATATTCCTGTAAAAATTTGATAGGCTGTTGATTCATAGATTGTATAAGAACTTTCTTGCTTTGGATGCTCCCAAAAATTTGAAACAAAAACTTACGGCAGTCGAGCATCCATATTATTTATCCTTAATTGTTAGCTGAATCTAACAATTGAAATAAAGCCCAGCTTTGTCAGCAAATTTGAAGAACTGAAAGTTTTTGCCTCATATTTGAGACAATCACTTGTGGATAAATGCACCTGTGCCAATTTGCCATCGGTCAAATCGGAGGTATAGTCAAGGTTTTGGAGGATGACACCATCAACTGAGCATCTGAAAATACACTGTTGGGCGTACTTTACGGTATCGGAAAAGTTGAACTCCTACCCATTTGCGTCCAAGACGGTGACTGGTGGTCCACCCTGGCCGTCATATATTGTACATGAGTGAACTCGCAAGCAGTACACATCAGTCAACTCAGAAAAGCATGCCCATTTATGATAAACAGTTTCACCAATTTTCCCATATTTGATGGGTACTCCATTTGGGTCCTCAGATAGAATTTCGTATCTGTAATGAGGAGTTTCGAATGTTAGCAATTCGTCACTTTCTCCTTGATTTTCACATCTTCTTCTGAGACATTTTTTTGGGGTGAAATAAAGTTGAATAAGGGACCTTGGTGAAATGCACGTATCAAATCCACGCTGCGGGGAGCCTACTTAAGGAAACCTTATTGCTTGCGAAACGATTTCGCCCGCAAGCTGGCTTTTCAAATTTTCCTTTTGAGGATTCCCGAGGTGATTTCTTCAAGCAGCGGTTGGACTTTGCCATACGCAAAAAGGACATGTTTTGCCGAACTTTGTTGAGCGCATAGTTTTGAGAAGAAAGATTAAAAGGATGACAACTCAAAATTTTTGAAAGAAGTCTCATAGACTTCTTTATTTTTTTCCATTGTAAATAGTAAAATTAACTTATCTCAAGCCATACCTAACTATATTT